AGGCTCTGGTATCATGGCTACCTGACAACAGAGCTCAAAAGTGTGGGATCATTTTAAGAAAATGAAAGAGAAACCTGTGTAATATCTGCAGAGCAGAACTTACCTTCCACAGCAATTATTTTTAGTTAGCATATAGCTAAAATTTAATGATGGTTATATAATAGCAGCTGCATTCTGGCACGATAAGCTGTATGTTTTATATTCAATTAACGTATGATCTGGTTAGTCGACTAATCGAAAAAATAATCGGTGATTAATCGACTATAAAAATAATTGTTTGTGGCAGTCGTAGTTGTAAGATTATTTTACACTTTTTCTGTTACTTTACATTGGATTTTTATGTTTTTAGGATTCGAAATGCTTCCTACAAAAAACAGACAATGTTCATGGACATATCTTGAACGTTTAGGAATGTATGAGCAAAACTTGAAAACGACAAATCAAAATGGTCACAAAGGCCCATTGGTTAAGTTATAMATTGCAGCAGAATATAATCACATGGTTGTGTTGTTATTGTGTAGTTTTTTGATGTTCTTCGTGAATCCATTGTCAGGTTTTATACTAGTGTGAGATAATGAATAACTCTACGTTATTTATTTTCATAGCAGAGATAACCAAAACACAACAGAGAGGAAAATTCTGGATGTTTGAAAAGTTTATCAGCGTGTGTTCATTTCTGCAAAGTTACCTCATCCAGACAGTTAACTCGAACATCCTTACAGCCCAGCAGTCTGGAGGCTTCTTGAACATTTCCTACAAACGCAAAACTCTTAYATCAGCCCCGATACAAATCCAAGCTTTAATGTGCAGAATAAACATCTCCATGCAGCTAAAGTGGTAAAAAGTTAATCAAATCCCGCAATTGAGTTGATGGCAGCAAGTGAAGTTAACATGCATTTCCCTATTAACAAARGTTGACTGGTACAGATAAAAACTACCGGTAATTTCTGACAATAATTAAGCTGGGAAAATGAAAAGCRTTGAAAATATCTACGCTTATGTCCATATTAGCTTTAGCCTACAAGCTAACAGGCAAGGATTAGCGTTAGYCGAAGAGGCTTACCTGCAGTAATGACCGCAAACAACTCCTTTTCACTTGRAGACAAGTCTCCCTTTTTAGGCGCAGACATGTTCACGACTCACAGTTTAACATAAATCAACAACGACGCAAGAATTATGTCAGGTTTTCATATAAATCAACGTCCTTGGYTGGCTCTGTTACTATGATGCTCTCTAGCATGAATGCTAACTCAGCGCTGTCATTTGGACTGTACCACTGACGTCCAGTAAGAGGGGTGGACTGCAACAGGACAAACTGCTCTAAAAACACCAAACATTACTCCGACAAAATAAASCAATGTTTTATGTACTRTGATAYAAATATTACACACAGAWAATGTATGCAAACAGTTAGAGCTGTTCAATTTTTCACAAACTTTCAATTAAATGATGTTACTACCCCCTATGTTCTTCAACAATGATCAGATCCACAAGAGTCTGGAAAGTTCATTCATGGGTAAAGTTATTCGTGTGAATCAGTGTAAATTTTTGATTGACTTAATCTAATTAATTAAAAAAATCACAATAGAAAGACYTGCAACACATAAGTGGAATAGGTATTATCATTAAGCACATGCATATTTCCAGGTACAGAGCACAAAGTATTATTAAAGGCATCCATTTAACAATGTTTCTGTCTGCTTGTTCTTTCCTCTTCAAGTTCTGCAGCAGCTTGGCATTCACCCATTCATTTAAATCAGGTGTGTTGGAGCAGAAAAACAGAAAAAAGAAAAGCAGAAAAAGTAAAATGTGCAGGATCGTGGTCCTCAAGGACCAGAATGGCCCGCACCTGATTTAGGTAAATGTTTATTTCACTGAATGTAAAATAGCGACATGGAAACCTCATGTCCAAAACAACATGCAAAGTGTGTTCTGATCCATTTCAAAGACAGAAGATGTTTGATCTTTGCTGTTACAAGATCATTTCTTGGCCTTCACTAACAAAATTTCCAAACTGCAGCTCAAAAAAACTACAAACAGAACAAGTTCTGGTTTATTTCATTCAAAGTCTTTTGAGTTGGAGATGTTTTGAGACATATTTGTTT